ATAATATATATTATTAATGAAAGGTATATCCCCTACACCAAATTGTAAAATTAGCTTTTTGTCGAAGACCCAGATTTCTCGATCCGATTTCCTTAAAAAATTTATTAGTTCTTTCCAATTACAAATAAAAATTTCATAAAAATTCTTTTATTAATCTTAGATTATGTCAAAATAATATTAAAATTTCAGAGAAATAGTTTTAGCCGAAATTTTATGAATAATCATTCATTACATGCACAAAAAAATTCCAAAAACATAAATTTTGATTAAAATTGACTCAATCAAAATTGATATTTTACTTATGAAGTAAAACTTTTATTATACCTATGTTACATAAACAAAAAAAACGTGCAAAATTTGGTACGAAAACAATTCCTCCCTTAATGAAAACAATGGTGATAATTTGTAATAAATAATTTCTAAGTGTCATATACATATATAGTCTTCAAATATGCATTATATGCAGCTAACAACTTCATTCATAAGTACATATGTAATTATACATAAAAAATTTAATACGCTATAACTTCATTAACTCCAGTTGAACTATAAACCTTTAGATCTACTAAAATAATATAATATAAATATACATGTAAATATATATATAAATTGTGATAAGTTCCAATAATTGTGCATTCCTTCTTCAATTTATTAAAATTTTCATTCACCTACAAAAAAAATTAAAACAATAGCACTTTAGTCTTACTAATATAATATCTTTAATTTAAATACTTAAAATCAGTTATAATTCTAAATAATTCAACCATTCATGTACATAGAAACGAAAGAAAAAAAAAAGTTTTCTTATAGTTAAAACCGCTATAAAATAAATTGTTTCATTACTCTATAGGTCAAAAATTACCTCTTAGCACATCAAAAGGAACAACAACAAAAAAAAACAAAATTTTATATAGACCATTATGAAATAATTACAACTTTTATGTTACTATGCTACTGCTACTGACGAACGATTACTTTACTTTGCTTTGCTACTACTAGTAATCCACTTTTCTCTTAATAGAAAAAACAAAAAAAAAAACATACAAAAACAAAATCAACTCAACTCAATTCAATTATCTCTTCCCCTTCCCAATCTTATATTACAAAGAAAAAAAAAATTCAAATAATGAGAGTTTATTATTAATTTTGCTTATTTTTACTTTGTTTTTCATTTTTATTCTCTCTATATTTTTTTTTTTTTGTTTTTCCTTTTTGTTTTCGTTACTTTAATAAATTTTACTGTAGTGTCGTATTCGTTTCGTATCTATCTATCCAATTCAACTCTTGAGATGTCAGTTTATATTCAACAATACCAGTTACTTGTATACAACACATTGAGTATAAACAGTTTATACCTGTTATTTGTTAATAATAATTTGCGTGCTTTTATTTATTAATTTTTTTTTCTGTATTTTTTAATTTAATTTTTTTTTAATCCGGACAAATTTCATTAAAGAAATTAAACTTATGAGTGTGATAGAAAAAAAAAGTTTATATTATTAGTACATTGCACATTTGTTTTTAATTTGAAAAAAAAATTTTATAAAATTTTAAAGTAAATTTTATGAATTGTTTTCAGATTTAACAAAAACAACAAATAATTTGTATAAAAATTAATTTAAAATTAGTATTAATATAAAAATTATTAGAAATATAAATTGCCAAAATAATTTAAAAAATAAAAATTTTTATTAATTTGGAAATTATTTTATTAAAGTGATTAATATACAATAAAGTGTTTAATTCAAATTTAAATTGAAAATTTATAAAAAAGAAAAATAATGAAATTTAATTAAAAATATAATTAAATAATATATGTATGTATTAGATGTGATAAAAATTACAAATATGCAACATAGTTTAAAAATAAATTTAATTATGCATATTTTAAAATTATATATTTTATTGCAAAATGATCATATTAGTTAAATATATACCAAACCAAAAAGAGTATTTATAGTATTAATATTTTAATAATAAAATTATGATAAAAACGTATTTAATTAAAATTATTTAATGAGTCCTGTTAAGTCAATGTTAAGAAATGCAAATCATAATAAGACTAGGTAATTTTATAAATTTCATTTGAATTAGAATAGTAAGAAATTCATAAAAAATATTCTTTTGTTATATTGTGAAAATTCATTAAAATCCGCTTTGATTTCATAAAATAATTAATATTATGTAATATTTATGTGCTTTATATTATTTATATGGTGATCAAACCGAAGTACAAGCTTGTTTGTATGATAGGTACTTAAATAAACATAAAATTTAGGTGCCCACATTTGCATAATAAGTGAATAAACTTTCTCAGTAATAAAAGATTAATTGAATTGCGTAAATATTGGCGAGTTTTGTATAAAATTTAAGTGATTACAATTTGAATTAAATAAATTAAATATATTAAATTAATTTATAATCCAATTATTTAACTACTTACTTAATATTATATTAAAAAAAAGTTTAAATTATATAAGTATTGAAATTAAATTAAATTTAATTATGAATTTATTGTAAATTAGAAAATTTTAAGATCTAAAATGGATAAAATTTTTAAATGGTTTAATATTATATAAGTTTAATATTACATAAATATATTATATCATCTTTAAAAATTTCTATAATATTTTAGTAAATATGTACACAATAATATCAGAATTACAATTACATTATGCTGTTAAATATATTAACAAAATAATACGATATGATAAAAAAATATTACAAACTTATTGTATTCGTTTTCTTCTTTTTATTTTTTTTTTTAATAATTAACAAAAAATGTAAGAAAATTACAGCATAAAAATTTCAACGTTTCAATAACTTATGAAATTAAACACATGCAAAAAAAAATATATATAAAAATCTAAGAAAAAATAATTCAAGCGTTAGTCAATCTTTTGTTTCTTATATACTAAGATATGTGCTGAAATATAATGGAAAGTAAAAAAAAATGTTCACAGTGAACAAAAAAAAAAAACAAAACATAAATATTAAAACTGAAGAGAATAACATTAAATAAGTAGGTATAATTAAATGTGAATCATACTGTGATAGGTGCCCAAAATACGATAAAGCACATTATACTTATGAATAATGCTTCGAAAATGTGAGCTTCCAAAATTTATTTGAGCTTATTTACGTGTGTAGTGTAAATAAATACACGACATAATTTTATTATATTAACGGGTCATGTCATATTTGACCCATGAGTTTTCGTCATTTAATTAGCCTATTTCATAATACTTATTTAATAATTTCCAATAACGTACGAAAGTATGAATTAAACTTTTGAACTTTGATAAGACTAGAGCCATATTAAATATAATGCCATTTAATATAGATATGTACATTATATTTACTGATTATAGAATCAGATAAAGAAAAATTTATAATTATCCACTTGTTATCATATAATTTTGCATAAATTTTGGAGGCACCTTAAAATGACATTTTAAAAAAAAACTTACGATTACAAATTTATTTCGTTAACATATGAAATGGAAAATATTTTTTTATAAGAGTCATTAACTATCGAATCACTAAGTGATAATAATAGTTATCGTAAAAAGTTTGATGCTGGAATTGTAAACATAAACCAATTAATGCAAATGTTCAGTGTCTGTAATAAAGTTTTTGAAATTTTTATGATAAATGTTACTATCCCATAGCGATTGGATACTCAGAATTTAATTGTCCCACTTAATTACTGTAATTAGAACTTTTACAATGTCAAAGAATTAGTAAACAGAAAATTGGTATTTGGCTAATTTTAGGGAATAGTACCATGCAAGGGAATCTAGACACAAGAAAATTTTGTTCTAATAAAATAATATATGTATTAATTGATAAACTCTTACCCCGCCCCTTTAAAATGGACGCTCTTCAACATTTTCTTCACATTCCATGGTTTATACCATTTAAATTTTGGAAGTCATTTCTGACTTCCAAAATTTAAATGGTATAAACACATTTTATACAGTCACATAAGTTTTGTAATTATACCGTATTTATGTCTTTTGCTACGAATACAGCTACAATCTGAATACATAAGTATATAAAATCTCAACTCCATTTAGTCAGCTTAAGTATCTAATTTATGGGTTGTTAAAAAACTTCGTACTACCGCAGCACTTTCCGTGATGTGTAATCAAGTTTTGACATGAGATTAAATCTAGTGGAAAAAATTTAAAACTATTCGATTATTATCAAATTTTCTGTCCGATTTTTTAAACCAATATGTAAATCCAGACGTAAATTATATTTTTCAAAAAAAAAGTTCAAAAATCTGCCGATTTTTGTTTTTTGAGTTAAATATATATTGTCAAAAACATTCTGTAAATATTTAAAACATTTGCTTAAATGTTTGATATTAAAGTATAAAATGAATCTGATGTGTAAATGCTCATCAAATTTTATTTTTCGTACTGTTTACACGAAAAAATCTTTGATTGAATGCGAGTCTGATGAAAGTTGTGTATATAAACTCTGTTTGACATCAGACTGTGCCTGACGGCCTATTAGCTGTGACAATTTGTTAAATTTTGACATAAAATCTGAGCTCCTTTATCGGTGTTTGTACTGCGTGTCTACGAGTATTCACATACTACATCATAATAAATCTATAATGTTATTGTTTTAAAAGTGTTTTGTCATAAATATCAATCTTTACTTTAATATTCTATTTATTCTGTAAAATTTTGCTACCATCCATATATTTTAATTTGCCTCGAAAAATAATTTATAGAAAGTACCTGAACAAAGTGTCAATAAGTACTAATAATATAGACACATTTTTTGTTTACAAAGCTAATGTAATACGATCAATTTGATTTAATTGTGTTTGATGACTACGGCACTGTGCGTTTTATCGTAAAATCTTTGTGGTGAACTTGAATAATTCAACATTTTAACATTTCAACCTTTTTTAAAATTTGAATCGTATGATCTTTTCTTTTTTTGTTTTGGTTCATGAGTTTTCATTTTAGTTTCACTGACATGGATATAGCATGTGTTATTAAAAAATTTAATTTCTATAAATTTTTAAGATCCTGCTGTTCAAAATAAATCACATTTAATTTTTATAAATTAAAAAAAAAGAAACTATTGGTTGACATTGTAAAATGTAGCAAAACTGCTTATATTTGAACTGTACCAAGTTCTCTAAGAAAAGCATAGCCACGCAAAATATTGAATTGAATTTCGAAGGAGTCTAGTGGATTTATTAAAATTATTAGATTATTTTCAAATAAAAATTATAATCAGAAGATTTAACGGAAACGAGAAAGCTTTTGGAACAAACTGAATATGTGAGTAGAATTATTGGCCAATTTTTTTTTGGAACTTACAAACGGATATCCGTTACAGAGAAAGTAAATTTTCGAATTAAACCTGTACTGTTAAAGTCGGGGTAGTAGCAATGGTAAAATTCATATTTCCTGTAGTGAAAAAATTGCTATAATTTTGTAATTGGAGCTGAAGTAAGTGGTACCAATCTGCGAATGCAAAATAAATGGATTTATTTAATGGACATGTGATTAACTTAGGTTTTGTATCAGTAGACTAGTCGAACTTTTAAATTAGTTTACAGAATAAACCAATTTATCTGATGCAATTTAAGATTTGGATTATCTTTCCGTATTCCTTTAAAAAGAGCAGCTATACAAGAAGCTATAAATTACAAATCCTCCATAACACTGCACTGTAAATATGAGAATAAGTATACTATTGATGTATAATAGTTACACCTACCTACTTAAATAAGCATACCTAAGTATGTAAAATTTCTTCATTATTTAACTTTTATAAACCCTATCGTGTTTTGTTTGTCTATTACATATCGTTAATTCATTGTGTTCAATAGATATAGAATTAAGTGTAATATAAAAATTGTATTTGTTATAAATCTATTTCATATTGTTTAAAAAAAATGGAAATTGTTTTATAACCTATATAGGCAGGTAGAAATACTGGAATTCAGAACTGCAAAACCTTTTTGTGTTTATTCGATAATATTTATACGGCAAAAAATTCTTACTGCATGACATACTGTAAATTAATACATTTACATGTTGTGTATGTGTTATAAGTTGCAGTTCCAACTAATGTTAGATAAACTTATTTTTATAAGCAAAGTCGTTTTCAGGAATCTTTGAAGAATTAAAACTGTAATGTATTAAGTACCTACCTATATCTGTTTGCTTAGCAAGCTACCGACATGCTAAAATTTTAATTATTATTTCAAACTTAAACTTTTAATTAAATGTTAATTTCCTCTTTTTAATATATTTCTTTATTTTATTTTATTTTCAGGTTCATAACGAAAAACCGCCAGAAAATAATTTTATAAGTGTCACGTGATTTCTTTACATGAAAATTTATAAAAGTAAAAGCAAAATAATAACTGTATGAATGTTGACGACATCTGCAAAAAGTACAAATACACAAATTTTTTTTTAATAAAAATTTCCAAATATTCTAATATTTAACTTAATACACAAAAATTAAATCCATGCAATTCATAACTTTTTTTTTAAAAAATAATAGAGAAACCTAAAAATTGGGAGTAAAATTTCTTCATCCTCATAAAAAAAATGACCGATTCATTGAAATTGGCTGAAATGCAACGCACAAGTATTGAATTTGAAAGACAACGTCATTTGGCCAATTGGTTTATAAAATCTGGTCCACATATGGCTAAACCATCACCGTCTTTAAGTATAAATGGTATTAAAAATAATTTTTAATTCATAAATTTAATTATGATACAAAAAAATCTCTGATAACTATTATAATAACAGAATATTAAAATAAGCAATATTACAAATTTTCAATAATAAGAACAGTTTTAAAATTTTGAAAATTTACTAACCCATTACTAACAGTTTATTTAATTAATTTAAAAAAAAAGAATATTAAAATTAATTATAGCTTAAATTTTTATTAAAAATTTAGATAATTAAACAAATATATCTATAAGCATAAAAAATATGTATTTATGAATTAAGTATTCTTAAAAGATCCACAGATAATTTTTCAAATACGAAAAAATACAGCTATAACCAAATAATTAATATTAAAGAAAACTTAAACTAAAAGTATTTTTTCCACTACAATTTAAAAAGTCGTATTAGAAATTTTTGATTTTAAAATTACATAACAAAACAACAAACATAACCCACAGGTGGAACAAAAAATGGGACAATCACTGCTGCAACAGGAAATCCATTATTTTTTGTAGTATCAACTGGTCAAATAAAACATCAACCAATACCACCATCGGGTATTGGGGTACAAACAAACCCAAATGGTGCAGCAATTACATCTGCTGGTACAGTAACAGTTAGTGGTAGTAAAACAGCTTTATCTAGATCACAAGTGATTACTTCACAAGAAAATTTTCCACTACAAATTGTTACAACGACTTCATCACAAGAAGGAGGCCGTAAATCTAAATTAAGACGTTTTAATTCACATGATACAAGCGCCAATATGTTTTCGGTAGCTGATTTTGAGAACGCAAGATTAGCTCGACGTAATGAAATCGAAATGAAACAACGTCAGCAGCGTTTAAAAATGAATTCATTGAGTTCTGGTGGTGATTGTTCTACTGGTGATAGTAAAGGATCCAAATATAGTAATGAGGTAAATTTAAGAGAATTAAAAAAAAACAGGAATCTAATTATACTCAATATAATAATATTGCTTAATTATTATTTATAGTCACAAACCGATCCACTATCGGCGGAAGTATTTTTAGATCGATATTCTTTACCGAGAGTTGTGAGAATTTCATATAAACAAAAATTTAGTCATGAAACTTTACAGTCATCATCGTCAAATGGTTCATCTTCAACACAATCTTCAGCATCTTTAAGTAAAAATGATGGATCAAGTAAACAAAATGGGGAATTGTATTTATTGTATCGACATTTAAGGCAACGATATGTATATCATGGTTTCAATACAAAGACTGGTATAGCAAATCGTAAGAAAGGTGTTATGATACCGCAAGAGTTTCCAGGTAATTTTAAAAACAAAGTTTTCTTTAGTGATTTGTGATTTTGTAAAAATACCAAATGGTAGCTGTATGATAGCGTTTTAGGAAAATATGCTTGTCATGTAATCAACTTAAAATTTAAATATTTTAAATTCAGAATATTTTCGATGTTAATTAATTTCGAAGCCTTAAAAATCAGCTGTTTACAACTCATACTTTAAATTTCACAGGCATTTTAATATATTATTTTTATTTTATACATAATTAGTTTCAATAGTTTGCTTTAAAAAAGAATTTTACATTAATTTTCAGTAATAATAATCGTATTGTTGCAAAAGTTTTTAACCTTGTTGGTATTTAACAATTTTATAACATTTTAATGGTTTTATTTACCCTGAGTTATTTCTTTTTTCCAAGTTTTTGAAGAATTTTTAATTTATTTACTTTATGCACGTAGGGAAAACTACGCATTGTTAAGAAAACAAACGCATATATAAAATGTTTGCTCACTTCAAGATTCATTATTATTCAAATTTAAAATTTTTAACTATTCGTTTTTATATTTTTTCTCTTTGTTTTAAAAACAACAAAAAATTATCATCGTTATTGCCAATGAAGACAATTGAACTGAAAGATCTGGTAATGGAAATTTCCAACGAAAATACATTTAATTGTATTTTTGAATTTAAAATTTTAGTTAATTATATTGCCTTTAATTAAATATAATAAAGGAACCTTAATACAATGAAGTTTTCCTTGAACAAAACAAAAATTGGCAAAAAAAAAAGAGATTTTTGTTTCCTGATTATTTTCTTCTCAAAATTATTAAAAAACATATTTTTTTTTAATTTTGAAAAAATTATTTTTGAATAGAAGAATCTTTTTATTTATAATAATTATTACTTATAATAGAAAATAAACCTACTTCTTGCCAAATTTCAATTGCAAATTACTTTTCCTGCATCAAGTTTTCTAGCAATTTATTTAAAATTATCTCTAAAAGTGGAAATTATGTGTAATACAATTTACAACATATATTTACATAATTTACTGTTTTAAAAAAATTTTTAACACAATTTTGTTATGTGTAAAGCAAGGTCCACAATTTACCATAATTAACTTCTGAAATGGACCTACATTTTTCATTTTAAACGAACAGAAAAATTATATAAGTTATTATATTTTTATTATCTTTTTGAAAATCACATGAAAGCTGTTACCAGATCTCAATAATAATAAACAGACATTAAAGTGATTTTAATCTTCATATTTACAATTTCTTATCAGAAATTTTCATTATTCAATATTTTAATATTATTATTATACATAATTATTAATATAATAATTTTCCCCCACATTAATTTTTATTACATTTATTATAATAGTTTTTACAAAAAAAAGTTAATTATTCAATTTTCTTATCATTTATTTTTTTCCATTTTTCTAATATGAACCTGACCTAATTTATGCTATTAATTTCTTGAATATATTTTAATTGACCGTAGCAACCAAAACATAACAATAATAATAATAGAAAAGAAACTAAAGAAAAGATTAGCTGCTATTAAGTGTTGCGTAAATTAACGTCGCTTAAAATTATTATAAAATATTTTTATTTATCATTTTCAATTTGATGCAACTTTAATGTAACTAATTTGAGATAAAATATGTTTCGTGATTGGTTTTTTAAATCTTTCTTCAATTGGCTTTGAAAATCAGTTGCGCTATGACTAGATTTTTCAATTATTTAGTATATACTTAGGATGTGTTTGTATCTATGTATATTCCATATTGCATTCATAAGTGTAATTATCCTCCTCTAACTTTAACTATAAATAATACTTTTCATTTCATTTTTTCAATTTAAAATCTATTGAAAACTTAATATGAATTTCTGAATTCAATTATTTCTTTTTTCATATGTAACTTGAATAAATTGAAAGTTTTTCAAGTATTTCTTATATACATACACGTCCACAATGTGTATAATATTTTTTAATTTACACATAATTTAAAAACAAAAGCAATCATTCAACTTAATATTTCTTTTTTTTTCTGTTAAATGTAATTGATGATCTACTTATAATGATGATCTTTATCTGTACAATAAAGATAATTTTTTTTATTGAATAATTACTAGTAATTTATCGCCGTTTTATGATTAATGCACTCTATGTCATTGTGAATGTTCGAATGTTCAATTACCAAAAAGAAGAGAAAGAAGTAAAGAAATAGTATAAGTATAGAAACAGTCCCACCATTCTTTTGTAATTAATTCAAATTGAACGTATTTTAAAATTATTTTTTAAATTGATCAGATAAAATTATATAATAAAATTGAATAGTTATAGAAGTTTATATAATGGTATCAATGGAAAATATATGTACTTTTATATTTTAGTTTCTGCCCATGTGGAGTAAAACCATTCAAAAAGTACAATGAAAGATACAAAAGAAAAGTCGTAGAGTTTATAGAGAGTTATTTTGGTTATTAAAAATAAATACATTCAAATTAGGTCTAGCCGATGAGTTGAGGTCTATATTAAATAAAATAATGCGAAAGTTAACATATTAGTGTTTCAATTTTAAAACATTCATTACGGTCCAATAGAAATAAAAATCCAATAGAATATTTTCAAATTGGAAATGGAAAATGTAATAAAGGCAAATTTGGAGATATAACCGTATTTTTTACTCCTACGATAAACTACTACGAGTAATAATTAATTATTCATTTAGATGGAAATAAATAATTTCAGTAAACTTATTTAAGAACGATTTTGTTGAATTTGAAGCGAACTAGGAGTTTAACTTTATAGAACATACTATTTTACTATTATTTATAGTATAGTATATAACTTTTGTCATCTGTAAAAGCTTCTTTTAATGATTACAAAATTAAATAGTTTATATAGAGTGTGCAACTATGAAATTGAATCATTTCTGCACTATGAAATTGAAATTTCTTTGTGCATACTTTTCAAATTATTATTGCTATATGTTGTTAAGAAAAAATTAAACGGTAAGTCGGTAGTTTATTTAAAAAAATTCAATATCGATTATTTGGCATGAGTTTTAATTCATGAAATGGTTATTGTCAAATTAAGTCACTATTTTTCTTTTTGCATATATATTATTCCGAATGGAATGAAGTTTACATGCTCATAAATTAATATATTATTTATTCCTTTTTATACATAAAGTAAAAATTTTTTTTATAGATTTATTTTTATTAAAACTGCCATTCAGTGAATTTAAAAAAATAAACGAGAAAAGATACCATCTCCCATTTACCATTTCAGTAAAATATTAGCTGTGTTGCTAGATTTGTTTTCGCCATTCAAAATTTTAAGGTCAGTCAGTTATTAAAGTCAGTTATTGTAAAAACTTTTAAAACCACGACTAAGTCGTTTAAGCAAAATTTAGTTACTCTACGTCTTACGAGTTCTACAATTTGACTAAATTCTTTCTGTGGTTGTAAGACACCTACCGATCTGATCCCCAATTAAATAATTTAAATAAATAAATTAATCGCGGTGACGAATAGATCAGCATAACTAAATTAACTTAAAACTTGCCATTGATCAAAAACTGATCATTGTGTTTATATTTCAGACGTCTATTTTCTTGAGGTATAAAAGAAGTGATAGATTTATAATTCCTTTCGGGCATTTGCCTCGTACGGGGATAAAAATATTTTACAATTTAATTTTTGTCTTTTTCTTCGAATTCGGTAAAATAATAAATGTGCCATCTGACAATTTAATTGAATGAAATTGATGACCTACTTAATATTTAATTAATATTATTTATGAAATGGTTTAATATATATTTTTATATACCATGTACATATACCTTTATGTATATTTGCTTGGAACCATAATATAATGAGTACACAATGTACACATACTATAAATTCTTTTATTTCTGTAACACAAAGAAAAGAAAATTAATTTTAATCATATTTAAAAAAGGAAAATGAAATTTACTATATATTTTATTTTTTTTTTCATTTTAGGTTTATGTTCTTTCCATTTCTTTTGAAAAGGATGACTTTAATAATTATTATTGGACCCAATTACATTTTTTTTAAGAATAAATTATGGTTTAAAAATATAACAAAATAATAGCTAGTATTATGATTAAAAATAAAAATAAACAAATTTTTCAAAAGAAAATAATTTAAAAATATTTTCATATATGCGTATATAATGCGTTCATATTTATTATTAAATGCCACACAAAAGAATAATTTATTTAATTAGGAAATATTAAAATTTTTATTTTTTGTTCAAAAATTTAATCAATTTCATTTTTTTTGCATATTATTATTTTTGTAATATTATTTTAGTATCTTTATCATCTTATCAAACGATATAGTCCGATTTCATAAAATAATTTTACAAACATTAAAATTAAAATTTAAGATTTGCTTATTTATAGTACTTTGTATTCAGTTGGAATGAAATTGTTTCTCGCTTAAGGATTTAATTACTTTTTTAAGTAAAAATTGAAGGTGTTTAAAAAGTATACTTAATTAGTCATCGATATTAATTTTCTTATATTAAAAACTTATTGTTTTTTTAATTGAAACATTCTTTAATATCCTTGAATAACTAAAAAAAATAGTTTCGTTCCTTCGGCAGCTTCACTTAAAATACCTTATTCTTTATTCATAAGATAAAAATATATCTTAATAATTGGGAAAAAATAAATAAAACTAAATACTCAACATGTTCGATAAGTAAACCAAATGTACTTATTTTAAATTCGAAAGGATCTGTTCAACACCCAATTTTTTCCTTTTAATTTATTTCAAATTTTCTTTTCTTTTAAAGTGGTTTTAGATGATAAAGATAAATAAAAAAGAAAATAAGTAAATCAAAGTACATAATATTTTTCCCCTCTTCTTTTTATTAAAAAAAAAAGAAAAAATTTACTTTAGGGCTTATGATAAAAGCATCCTTTATTTTTATGATTGTGTAAACCATAATTCTCATTAAAAATTTAATTGTTTCAAATTTATCAAAACAGATTTTCCATTTATTTCATTTTCCTTATTTTTATTTTTTTGCCTTACTCCAATTTTTTATTAGAAATACCATAGTTTTATTCGGACTTACCGATTATTAATAAAATTAATAATTATGCAAAATTAATAACTATAATTATGTAAAGTTGTTAATTAAGACAAAAGTAAAAATGAATTGACCAAGCGAATTAAATATCATTAATTAGTATCATTAATAGTATAAACAATTTAGTCTTGCACTTTGTAAACAATAACTTTTAAGAATAAGAATTAATTTTATTAATATGAATTGATAGTATCCAAGTATTTTTAATATAAATATAACAGCAAACATTTTTAAAAATATTATTAGTTTGTTCTTAGGCCTCTTATAAAACAATATTTTGAATAATATTTGAAACAATATGCAAGAATTAAATTTCCCAAAATAATTTCGAATTAAATTTCAATATGTGCTAAATCACTGATTTCAAAGAGCATTAATTAAAAATATATTAAATTATATTTTATTATACATAGGTATATATCTGAAATCAACAAAAAAAAAAACATATTTACATATTATTATATATTTATTTATATAATTAGATATTTCCTTATTGTAATCCATTTACCTATATAACATAGTAATTTCAATTAATATAAAAATGTACATTTATTTAACTATATTGAAAAATTAAAATCTTAAATTTTATTGAAGTTAGTACAATTAATAAGTATAAAATTTTCTTGTCATACAAGAAATGTTTTTATTTTTATTTTCTGTAAATCTGTACTTAATTTATTATTTTACTTTAATCATCCTGGAGTACTTTTGCGGAAATATTATGTAACATAAACATACATATAATATATATGTTACGACATAAATGCATATTAAATTTGTACTTACGTACATATAGTCAATATAATGCAAATATGTATGCTTTTTCTTTTTTTATAAAATAAATTACTAGCATCTACATTTCTTTTAAAAAAAAAAAAATTTATAATGTTAAGTGTACCATAAGTATCTTTTATCTTTTAGTACTCCGGATGTTTCATAATAAGTTCAAACTTACCCACATTTTTTGTACGTATTTTGTAATGTATATTTATATGCATGCATTATGTATATTATATGCTATAATTTATACATGGTGTATTCATTAAAGTCACAAGCATAAACAGAAATTTGCCTATGGTATTCTAGAAATTTAGAGCGAAATACAGAAAAGATATAAAATACATCTATTTTGTAGAAATCATTAAAGTAAACGGGGGAAAAAAGTACATAAAAATGGTATATATTTTTACTTTGGCAAACCAAAAACAAAAAAAAAAAAGCAGGTGCGAAGAGATATAAATGTATAATAGCTTTTAGGTTTTTCCTCTTTTAGAAAATAAAAGAAAAATTGAATGAAGAAAAAAACAAGAAACGAATTAAGAGAGCCAAAGAATTTTTAAGACATTTATTGTGACAAATTTTTATTGAGTTTGAAATTCAAATTGTGGGGGAAAATAAATATAGTATAAGCGAAAAAAAAAATGAAGATCCTTGATGGAAATCTACTTATTTGTAATAAAAAAAATATTGAAGTTTTTTTAAAAGATAAGGAAAAAAAATTTTTGTATTCATTTTTAAATTGAACGTTTAAAGATTATTTTTTTTTTATATAAATATAAATTTTATGTAGTAAACATGTGAATAAAATTTAATATTATGTTAAGGAATATTAATAATTATTTATGGTTTAAAAAAACAGACAGCATATCAAGAAGATAACAAAAATTATAGAAACTATTTTATGATCATAGGTTCATTTGCGTATAGAAATCTGATTTTTATAATTTTTATTAAATATGAGAATAAAAGTTAGTACAATTTTAGCTTAATATAATACCATTAAATTTGTTAATATTTTATGCATCAAATTCTTAAATATTACTACTTCATGAAAATAAATATTATTTTAGGATAATTCCAAAAAAAATTTCTACAATTACGATGAGTTTATCTTAAATATTTTTTTTAAATTTATATCTTAAAAAGAGAAGTACTTTCTTTATAAGTTCTTTTCTTTCAATATGCAGGTTATTTAAATTAAAGATTATTTATTTATAATTTTTTTCCTTATAATATGTAGCATTCATAATTGTTAAAATAAAAGAAAAATATTTAATGCAAGTTAATTAACATTTGATTTTTAGTGTAATTTTTTTCATAAAGAATTTTCATGTCTTATACCATTGTATCTTTTGTTTATTCCTTAAAGATGATAAAAACTTTATTTCTGTTTTGATGGTAGATGCTCTTTTGTTTATTTTTCTTTGTTATTTGTATAATTTATATAAAATAGTGGGGATGTGCGTTTGCATCTCTTTGTTTATATTATGAGAAAATGCTTTTTATTAAAATGAAAAATTAAAAATTCTGAAAATATTTTTCTATTTTCTATATTATAAATGATAAAATTTCTTAAACTACTTTAATAGATCCGAACACAAAAATATAGAATTATTTATTATTTGCAATACAGATAAGATCAGTAACAATGGTTTCTGATAAAATTACGGAACATGTTACTACTATTATATGCATCTATCAAATATTATGATAAATTTAATAAAACACCTGTTTATCCACACAGTGCAAATATGAGCGTGAAAATGTTTTTTTTGTTATATTTTAACTTTAGCTTAAACAACGCTGTATTACCCTGATTTTATTTATATTTTAATTGGTATTGTACATAAATATTAACAATAAAAGTTGCGATTTAGTTTATGTAAGAATTTCTAAAGCTTTAAGATGTGCTTGTTTTGATCAGAAGCTAGTACAACATTGATTATCATAGCGGATCAATTTATATGTTTTTTATTTTGCGAATGCTGGATATCAAAAATAAGGAAATAAAAAAAAATCAAATTGAAATTTTGAATATAGCTACTTACAAAATATTTTGACATTTATTTTTTGTAAATTTTGTTTCTTTAAAAAAAAACTTAATTTCTATCAATTAATTTTATTTATTTTATATTTTTAGGTTATTTTTCTCTAATAAACGATAAAGGATTGCCAACCGCAACTCAGTATACATCCTTAATCCAGCTAGTCCGTGAACGTGTACATAAATTTATATCCGTAGATAGTCTACCAGCTTTTACAGAATCTCAGAGTACAACTAATGCACCAGATGGTTTCGTTGCAACTCGACCACATTACATAAAAAGTACAGCACGTGGAGGTCAAGTTTTTCGTTTATTAGCAGTATTTGAAGATGGTAATCAACAAGATTCATCAAATACAAAATTTTCATCATCATTAACATCATCATCGTCAAATAATAATACAGGTCGTGAAAAAGAGAAAGGACGCTATGCTCAGTTATTTAATGAAAATCGTCAAATATTATATGTATCATTAACAGCAAAAGGGAAATTTTATGAAATTGAACCAAGCATTCCACAAATATTACAAAAAGTTAGTGGTTTTAGTTGTAATTCAACAACAATATCACAAACAAATTTAGAACATAATAGTAAACAACGTAAAATTAATCCAGATTGTGTCCATCGTATTAGTAATTTAATAAATCCTGATAAAGAATTTCCAATAAATTTAAAATTTATATCAGCATCATCTGGAGCAAACTCATCATCATCTTCATCTTCAGTATCAATACCAGAAAATTTAACAATTACACATATAACTAAAGAAAATGTCTTGATTGCATGCCCAATCGATGATGCGACAATTGATTCTGGACAAAATTTATCAAATTTACAGTTGAAAAAATTACCAATTACAAATGAAATGACATTTATGAAATGTTTATTAGGTTTTGAAAATGAGCAAAGAATGTTAAGTAATCCAAATGTACAAAATATTTTAAAATTTTGTCAATTTAATTGTGATCAATTTATAAAAACAATTGAGGTTGAAGTATTTAATAGGCCAGAACGTTCAACTAGCAAATCACGAGTAGATGGTTTAAAGAAATTAAAACCTTTAAATTTTCCACGTTTATTAAGACGTGAAAAAACAACAATCGCACACGAAAAGGAAGATTCAATAATATTTTTAAGTAAAAATGATTTGGCGAATTTGGAAGCGAAACAAGAGCAACAACAACAACAACATCAGCAAACTCAAAATCAACAACAATCAAATTCAAATGAGCAACAAGCGCAACATCAAAATCGAATGTTCTCTGATAAAATGAAAGTTTTTCAATCAACTAAGAAAAAGTGGTTTAAACGTAATGACAAAAATACTTCAATGACATGTTTAGATATAGATATTCAAGCCAAGCGTATGAGTATGCAGCGATATAATGATATGTCGAAATTATTACAAGAACGTTTCGGTGAGGAAGTTCTAGCTGCTAGTGGTAGTTCGTCTAATAATAGACCAGCTTCAGAAATAGGAGGTTCAATTAGGATTTCCAATACAAATAGTGCTGACCGTAATATTCCATTTTCAAATAATATTCTTAATAATCAAAAGAAAATTCAGAAAAGCCTTAGTTTACAAGATGTTGATTTAATAGATAAGCAACCAGATTTGTTACCATCGAATTATACCACTGAAACTACAACATTAGCTGAAAGTATGACCAGTATTTCTAGTGGAAATGGTTTAATTTTGAATCAATCAATAAATCCACTAGATGAAGATTTAAAAACTGATGTTGACACTATAAATAATATAAATGCAAATACTTCTAGAAATGATGGCAATCAATGTACAAATAATTTTAATAAGCAAAAACAATTTATCAGTGAAAAGATGTATTCCGAATTTCATGTTAAAACCAAACAATATAGTAAATCGTCATCTAGTCTACATCAATTATTACATTTTGCAGTACCACAAAAAATGAATGTTGTCGAAACAAAAAAAGTAAAACCAATAAGTTCAATAAATTCAAACAAAAATGAAATTGAAAATTCAATTCGAGACTTGGACTTAATGCCAAATAGTAAACAATTAGATTTTTTGATTGGTGATCCTGTTTCAAACAATTTAAATGGTGAGCTATAATTGAATTAATTTTTTTTATTGTGTTTTAGATTATGTATATCCTCTCTTACGTTCTTTTTTGGAATATATAATAATATAATCTAATAATATAATTTCCTTGTTCTTTAAATTTCAGACGATTATAGTAGTACAACAATTATTGATGATTTACCCTATAGTAGTGTTAGAGATTCCCTTTTAGTATCCGAAGGATGTACAACTTCTAATCATAATATGAATGCAGATAGTTTCAGTAGTGTTATGATAAATAATGGATTAATGAATAACAATGATTTCAGTTACCCAAACTGCAGTAGCTGTATCATAAATAATTGCACAAGCTCTAATATTCACCACCAAATTGGTACAACAAATAACGCCACAAATGGGTGTAGCTCTACCAATAGAATAACAAATAATAATTTAATTGAAATATTTGATGATCCAAGAGAAAACATTTACGCTGAAATCTGTCATAACAATATAGATAGCAGTAATGGTGGCAGTTGTAGTGATATAACAACAGCTGGTGTTGCAATAAGTCGCATACAAATTAATGGAAATGAAAATGTTGATGACGGTATAGAAGTTTTAAGTAATATTGATAATGATAACAATCATCATCCTCAACATAAAAATGATGAAAAACTCAATTATCCAGAAATTGTCATTAAAGGAGCCAGTGTTGTTCAAGCAACAAGTTATATAAATAAAAATAATATTGGTAATAGTAGTAAGGATAATAACAAACAACAGCAGCAACAACAACATAAATTACAGCATTTGAATTCAAATAGTCCCAGTATTTCTGATAAAATTAATAGTAGTGTCAACGGTGTATGTAGTGTAAGTGGAAATTGTGATGCTAATGATGTAGATGTTGATGGTGCTAACATTGACAATATATATAATACGTTGAAATGATGATTGAGTGCGATGAGATATAAGTTTTGGAAATTTTTTAAATTCAAAGAAAAAATTTGAAATTTAATGAACAGAATTTATTTAAATTTTTTTTAATTTTCAAACAATATTATTAATTTTTTTTGTTTTAAAAGAAAGAAAACTAATTTTTAGAGAATTTTTGTCACAAAATATATAAAAAAAGGAGAAAAATTCTTTCGTTATGTTTCTTTTTGTAAACAATTACTTAATATTTAATTATTATTATAAATGTTAATTAAAAATTTAAAATAAATTGATCAAAGAATTGAAATATTTTTGTTTTAATTTTTTTTCATTTAAAAAAGTATCAAGACTTTAAAAAACTTGTAAGTGTGGAACAAAATATGTATATTATTTACTCATAAGAGAAAAGCAGATTTAAATGTATATGATTTTACATAAATACCGAATTGGCCAACTGTAAAGGATGGAAATTCCCAAAAAAAAAAACATTCACCTAAGGAAATTCAAATCAATTGGCTCTAAACATTTAATCAACATAAATAATCATATACATTAACAAGAATTATACTCTGTTTTAATTATGTTTTAACTTTAAATTAAAAAAATTACATAATAAATAGCTAGATACAAAAATATTGTGTAAATAATCTTTAAATTATCACTATGTTAAAACGTAATCTTTTTGAAAAAACAATAGCACTAATCTATTTACAAATAAAAAAGAAATAAACTTAAAAAAATCATTGCAAAGTAAACCTACATGCACAAAGCTCATAATATTGAATTTTCAACTGAATGTGTAATCAAAAATTATAGTTACAAGAAAAGAAAATTAGTTTTTTTTATAAGTGTACCATCATGGTAGTTATTTACTTTTTATTTTAATGAATTTTCAGTATAAATGTTTTTTTAAGTTTTGGAAATGTTATATTTTATAAAAAAAAGGGGGTTGAAAAGGTACGTGGTATAACAAGTTACATAATATAGAATTTAAGAAATGAACATTTTTTTGTTGTAAAATGAAGAAAAAGAAAAAAATGTGATATACCACAGGCTGTAAAAAAAGCTTCTCTATTTGATTTTTATTTATTACAATAATGGAGATAGCTTCATGATTAGAAATACGCGAACAAATGGGATATATTATAAAATTTGAAAAGGAAAGTAAAAAGAATATTATTGAAAGTAAATGTAAAATTAATAAATTTCATTCTTTTACCTTTTAAACGATTATTTTAGCATCATTACAAGATTAATTTCTTAATAAAATTCTTACTTATATTTAAAATGTGTATACAAGAATAAATATATTCTTGAGATTTTAATAATAATTTGATTTTAATCTTTTATATCACGACTTCCTTACAAAATAGAATAATAGTTTATATACATGCGTAACTACAAAACTTTTTATATTTGATAATTAATTTCATGTATGTAAATTATATTTTATACATCTAAGTACTTAACAATAATCATGAATATAAAATTGAAATTACTTAGAAAGTTATAACTACAATAAAAAAAATTCTAGTACTATGATATTTTTATTTAAAATGTGATATGGAGAAAAATATGCACATACATAAATTTTTTAAGATTATGTATGATTATTCCTTTGTTACACAAATAACATTTCATTTTGCAATGTTATAATTTTTCAATAATATCTTTACTTACTTTCTATATTTAAAATTAATAGTTTCATCTCTGTTATTATTAGTTCATTTATAATAATTTTAACTTTATTTTAATAATATATTTAAGTTCGATTCAATTTTTTTGGTTTTCCCATTAATATGGATAGATTGCACTGTAAATACCATTATAAAAATTACATCAAGTCAGCTCAACCAGCGATATTTTAAAATAAAATCTCAAAACTTTGTATTATTTTGTTATAATATATGTATGTATATAATGTACATAAATATAAATGTATATGAAAAATGAAAATATAATTATATAAAAGAGTTATAAAATTTTTAGCATTATAGTAACATAAAAAATTATATTTTAAATACTATTTAATAATTAATCATTTTATTTATTTATTTTTCATTTATAAAATCTTTTATAGTAAAAATATACAGATATTAGAAAATAATATAATATCTATAGAAATTGTTTTTAATAAATTTTATTCTTATAATTTTTGGTTATAAAAAAATTTGTCATAATCCAAATTTTAAAATTCAATTTTTCTAATAAGCCTTATAATAAATACTGACATAATTATATAAACGATTTAAAAAATTTGTTTTGAAATTATTAGTATAACAATAATATAAATTTTATTTTAAGGTAGCTATTTTTTTTTTATCCTAACTTTTTATTTTTATATTAATCAAAGGAAAAGTTAATTGAACTCACGATATTATTTAATATATAGAATATTTAAGTATACATTTATATTTTATTCATCATACATATATTATACTAAACAAAAATTTAATTTTTTAATAAATTTATGAAAATATATATACATAAATAAACCATCTAAATAAATAAAAATTATAAAAAAAAACATTCATTAAAAATAAAATAAATGTATGATTATAAAATAATAAATAGAAATATATTTTTTTTCTTTCTAAGTTTTAATAATATAAATCACCACATTATATTATAATCAGTTCTTTGAAATATACATACACCAAAATCGAAAATTAATATAATATTTACATAATATTTTAAAAGTACATAATGTCTATCTAAAATTTGATTAAAAATATATTAATACAAAAATATATTATGCAGTTGTTATAAACATCTTTTGCATATTCATAATAATAAATGATAATAAAAATTAAAAACTGTGACAAAAAATAAAATAAAGTAAAAAATATTGAAAACAGCCCTCCATTTGAAAATTATTATAATTCATAGTTAATTTTATTAACTATTTTAACGTAATACTAATAATTCAATAAAAATCTATCATTTCAAATTTTATTATCTAATGAAATTATTTCATAAATTTTTTATTCAATCTTTTATAATATAGGAATTCAAATAAATTGCTGAAGAAATCACATATCCTAGTAATTATGTATATATATCTAAATATAAAATTTAAATTTCAAATTTTTTTTTTTATTTTTCCTGTAAACTAATTTAGTTATTTTAATTTTAGTTTATATAATTTAAAAAAAAAATTTGTAAATTTATTTATTGAAATTAATATATTCATAGATCAAATACAGATATTTTCTTTGTATAGTTTTCTTAGAAAAACAACAACACTATAACTATCTTCAGCAGTTTTTTTTATTTTTATCAATATTATCTTTTTAAAAATTTTAAAAATCTAATTGAAAAAATAAATATTAAAATATATATAAAAAAAATAATAGAATAATAATATTTATTGAATTATAATATATATAATACTTATAGTGAATTTATTACAAAAAAAAAAATAAATAAAAAAAGAAACAGATAAAAAATATATTGTATAAAACATATTGATTTTAATAATAATAATTAAATAATTAAAAAAATGGATGTGATTCTACGGTTGACTTTTTAGAAATATAACACAAAAACCAAAAAACGAAAAAAAAATATCAAATGAAAATGCATATAATAATAAATTAAAAAAAAAAAATGTTTTTATATATGAAAAAAAAACACTAAAAATAAAAAAAAATAATATTAAAAACTTTTCCTACACTTTTAAAAACTCCTAAGAAGATTTAATATCAATATAATGCAAAAACTATTGATATTATAATTTTTAAACTATATATAGCAAAGAAGAAAAAAAAAATATGTGATAATATGAAATACTAAAAAAAAATATTATGTATGTATAAGAGTCACTAAAGATATTTATTGGGAGCATATACCTATTATAATTCCTTAAAATAAGTTAGGTATCATCTCAAAATTATATAATGTTCAATATTTTATATTATTATGAACATACATTCATGCATTTAATTTTCGCTTTATTTACTAAACTCTTAATGTATATATTGAAAAAGATAACATGCATACATAAATATAATCAAGGCAAATTGCTCCTTTTTAATTTAAAATTTAATTATAATTGTATGATTTTATTTTAAATTGCCAATAATTATCTATACAAAATATTTTAAAATTTGTATATTATGTATAACAAATTCATAATATGTAAAAAAAATCATAGCAAAAGCATTAACAAAATTCTTTTTCTTTATTTAAACATCTCATCTTCATCCTTTTTCTTTTTTTCCTAAAACAAAAAACATAGTATTTAGAAAAGGGCACCTTGCGTATACACACATACAAAAAAAAAAACAAAAAAAAAAAAACAAGAAAAATAATGAAAAACAAAAAGAATGAAATATTGATAATAAAAATTGCATATGTTTTATAATTAATAAACAAAACATCCTTTAAATTTTAACTTTATATCCTTTATAATATTGTTGTTTTTTTTTTCTTTTCTTTATAAACATTTTCAACAAAGAATAAACATAATAAATCACACCGATTTTATAATAAATAAAACCAAATTGATTTCAATATTATATCTAGTAAATTTCTTGATAAAATCACATTTTGATCTTAAAAAATTAAAAAAAAAATCGAAAAACCTAAACCAAAATACAATGGAAACAATAAGAAAAAACAAAATAACACGAAACTATCTATTTATTCTAAGTAATTATAGATGTATTATAAAAAAATTTTGAAAAAAAAAAGCAATAAATTGTAATGTAAAATAAAAATAATCAATAAATTTTTTATGTTAGAAGATTCTTACTCGTAATATCTAAAAAAAAAGAAAAATATGCTTTTGCTTTAAAATCTTTTTCAACAAAATTTTGTTAATAAACTATAAAATTAATAAAGAAACAAAATAATTTTTCAAAAACAAAAAAAACTGATAAACTTTTTAAGAAGTACATTTTATTAAACATAATTATAAATGAAAAATTAAAAAAAAAAAACACAATTATGGCACAAATTATTATAAATAAAATATTAGAAAGTTTTATATATAATTAAAAAAAAATAATATTATATACCATATATACCATAATACTTTAAAATTGTATTGTAAAATATACTTAAATAAATACATTAAAATAGATATAATAGTAAAGAAAAAATCAAATTTTAAAATCCTTTCAGTAATATTATATAAAAATACCTAAATATAAAATTTATTTAAGAAATTGTTAAACAGAAAACAAAAACCTAAATTAAATAAAATATACAATTTAACATTATTAGCTACATATATATATAATAACAATAATATTAATAATAATAAGGATTAATGTGATCAATATAAAAAAAATTTATGTAATA